GAGCGATGGTGTCGTATGTGGTTGAATCATACTGGGCTATGACCTGCCTCATACGCCCTCGCATGACAAACAAGCGATTTATCACGAGAACAGTATAAATCACGGTGAGCCCTACTTCGACACAGAGGTAGGCAAGCTCCATGATAATGTTGTAAAATGCGACACCAGTACTCGCTTCGACCAGGACGATGATGGAGAATGCTGCGTAAGATGTCAGTGATTAGTATCGCTTGGTGAATGATGGACTGCACCGATCATGGCAACATAGAGTGTGATCATCGGGACCATCACCCATCTTGACCAATTCCATATCACAAAACATCGGTGGAGCTAAGTATTTCAAGCATCAATTTAGAAGCAGACGATCAGAAGAACTATTAGGCTCACGAGCAGAGCTTGCATGAACCACTCCTGAATGTGACCACTAGACGGGGTGTCAATACTAGAGGTTTGCAGGTGGAAGGGCGATGTCACTTACGTGGCAAGCGCTACAAAGTTGATACGATAACGCATGTAGCCCTCGATTAGCGCGAGCGGACCACCAGGCGCATCACGAAGATCAATCCAAATCATCTCTGTATACCTTGCATTCATACTAAAGCTTATCGTCCCCAACACGAACGTGATAAAAACGTAGAAAAGAAGCGCGAGGCGATGATCTGCAATTTTCCCCCCATGTCGAGGCCGTTGCATAAGAGCAATCAATGCTTGCACTGTAAGGAGAAAGAACATGCCTATTATAATATATAAGTCAACTCCCGAGGCGTCGCGTATCGACCGAAAACGTACCGTAGCACACACACAATAACATCATTCCATCCAGGCGAAACCTTTCAATAGAGAGATTCGTCTGCGGGGTGTAGGACGACATGGCCGCAAAATAGTTCACCAAAGGAGGGTTAAGATGAAATAGATGTCTGAGCACTCAGGATGCGCCCTATCCACTGGTAAATGGTGGAGACAACAAGTGGACAGTTGCAAGACACGGGCGGGGAAGATGCAGAGGTTATATGGGGAACCTAAAATAAAGTTTTCGCTAAGGAGACATAAAAAGCGGCGGCCACATGCATGAAGTTGATGTTGAGGATGTCACTCACACAGTGATAAAATTTTGACACGGTGGGACTAAGATAGTGTTAACTGGACGTGAAGCGCTGAAAAGCCTGCTCGATTCCAAATATCGTCATTAATTTTGAGGGTTGCGCAATTATAAACGAATCCAAATTTGTGTTATGATTTATCCACGTGCACACTGCAGAATAAACGACAAAGTGACGGCACAGAGGGGGAAGTTCTTGGAGACTTTGTCACATATGTGCCCAGCCTGAGAGGAGTCTGTATGGTGACTTTTGAATGTTTGTGAGGTCACCAATTGCGATGAGACTTGGCACTCACATAGAAAGAAACATGATTACTCACATATAAGCAAAACGATACTATTGCTGGATGTAAATAAGGTGTGCTGATTTTCCTTCGGCGGGGAGTTAACCAGTTTTTGACACGAGGTTACACCTCTAAATACGTTACCGTGATGCTGCATCATCCTGCAGAATGCCGACTTGATACTCGGCGACGATAGGACTCCCACGCCGTCCCAGATCTGGCCCCACGGCGCAGATAACATTCATTTCAGGTATCTATTACGATGTACATATAAACTTAATTATGCAAACCAATTTCACGCTACAAACACTGAAACTTCCTCTGCCTTCTCAGAATCAGCATACAACTGGACACCTCGTTCTGGCTTGCCTATTTGTTCATTGTCGGTTCCCTCTGTGATGTCCGATACAGCCCCTGTGAATGCTATAGCCGTAGTTATTGCAGTGCTTCGAGTCGACCACTCGCGTGTAACTGCCCGTCCCCGTGCAACACGAATAATGATGAACAATTGGGCAATGCCCTAGTCCAATAAAGACAGCTCATGTTAGAAACGGAGGCAACTCAGGTTGGTTTGCTCACCTGGATTTTGCCAATAGACAAGAAGCATAGAGTGATAACACCGTAAGATCGCATACCAAATGCAACTATAAAAATAATAGCGGAGACCGAGTATAACGCTGCAGACTCGATGACCATGAGGGCGATGGCACCATATGTGCTGGAATCATACTGGGCCATAATCTGCTTCATGCGCCCTCGCATGACGAACAAGCGATTCGTCACGAGAATAGTATAAATCACGGTGTGCCCGACTTCGACGCAGAGGTAGGCAAGTTCGATGGGGTTGTTGTAAAATGAACCATCGGTCCCCGCCTGGAACAGGACAGTGATAGACAAACCTACTTGAGATGTTAGTCACCGCTGTTGCTTGGTAAATGAATGATGGACTGCACCGATCATGGCAACATAGAGTGTGATCATTGGGACCATCACCCACCTTTCCCAATTCCATATCACAAAACATCGGTGGAGCTAAGTATTTAGTATTTCAAGCATCAGTGTAGAAGCAGGCGATCCCGAAGAACTATTAGGCTCACGAGCAGAGCTTGCATAAACCACTCCTGAATGTGACCACTGGACGGCGTCAATACTAGAGGTCCGCGGGTTGACAGGCAAGGACACCTACGTGGAAAGCGCTATAAAGTTGATACGATAACTCATGTAGCCCTCGATTAGCGCGAGCGGACCACCAGGCGCATCACGAAGATCGATCCAAATCATCTCTGTATACCTTGCGTTCGTAGCAGAGCTTATCGTCCCCAATACGAACGTGATGAAGACATAGAAAAGAAGTGCGAGACGATGATCTGCTATTTTCTCCCCATGTCGAGGCCGCTGCATGAGAGCAATCCAGGCTTGCACTGTAAGGAGAAAGTATACGCCTATTGTGGTACATAAGCCAGCCTCCACATTGTCGTACTCGGACAAAAACACACCATAGATTGCACATGCTACCATCATTCCATCAAGGCGAAATCGTTCTATGGACACACTTGTCTGTGGGGTTTGGGATGACATGACACCGAATGTGGTGACAAAACAGAAAAAAAAAGATCAAGCAAGACACCAAGACAAGGTACTTGCTGAGGTGCAAGTGATGAAGAAAACGAGTAGATTTGAGTTAAAGACGAGTTATATAAGAACTCGGGTAAATTTCCTACTATGAGGACAACGAGCCAGATGTCGCACGCATGAGGTTAAGTTGACGTTGACGGTTGGGGGGGATGTCACTCAGACATCAAATCTTGACGTACAGGATCCTGTACATAAGATAACAGGTTGAAGCTGAACTTGAAGGGGTCAGTTTTCCTGAAAGGCTACTTGATCTCGAGCGTCGTAGTCAATTCAAAGCCTGCTCTGTGCTACATGCGGTCGTCGATTTCAAGCTTGTGTTATGGCTCGGTTCTTGTATGCGGATTCTTGCGCATTTAACCTCAACGTCAGCCTCCGTGCCATGTACTTCCGAAGCTTCACGTAGGTGATGCTCTGTGATGGTGCCAATAAGCTTGCCAGGCCCAGCTATAGTAACCCGGGGTAATGGTAGAACGAGAACACCAATCACAAATTCACAATTGTGTAGAACATAATTGGTTCCCTGGATGTCGTGATTACTTACATGGAGATCTCTGGCCGCTCGCAAGACCAGCTTCGACCCTTGGTCCCTTGCGATTGAATGAGGGTGAACCCGACTGTCAAATTAGTCCACGCCGGAAGAAGCATACCAGAATCTAGATGTCAGGAGCATTACTGCAAGGAGAAATCGTGCAGCAGCCGCTGTAGCGTAAAGAGCCCGGGGTTGGCAAGTGAGTAAAGAAAAAACTGGAGATGTGTGACCTGTTACCACTCCAAAATTGTTCGTCCCCCCACAGCAAGGTACGAGCATTGGCTCAATTACAGCAGAGGTGAATTCGACCTCATTCACCGCTCAGCATATTTTCCAGAGGTGCTACTCACCAATTATCAGAGTCGACAAGGTTTCCCAAGTCTTTTCTTTATGTTCTTACGTTACACTGCTGGTACGTACCTAATTTTCGCCACGGCTTGGGATGCTTGGCAGCCGAATGGTGGCGGAGTGGTAGTACATCGGGTACGGCTTCGGCGGGGGAGTCATCCCTTTTCCGACTCTTTGTGAGTAGCACCAATTGGCTAAGATCATTTTGTTGAAACTTTGTTCGTCCACCAACGGGCCGCTTAAACAAATCGATCGGAAGCGGCTTTGTCGTGGCAAAAAATATGTTCGAGTCGACCCTGTTCTAACTGCAGACGTAGCAGGGTATCGCAGAATGGTGGCGGAGTAATGACAAGGCATCGCACACTCCAATTATGGTGGTAAGTTCATTGTCCGATGCATGTGACTGACTTGACAGCACATTCCCTCGTTCATTTATATGTTCATAAAGGAATGGCAGTCTTATTTCTTTTGTGATCTGCCTACTAAGGAATTCAAAGACAAATGTTCTATGATACAAGCGCTGAACCGTTCCACCTTCCGTTTCCACCCCGTGAGTAGTGGAGTTCAGTAAGTGTGATGTGACTGATTTGACGGGTTAGTTGATTCCATCGATATCATCATCTCTACCCGGGTTGAAATTACCTCCGAGTCCACATCGGCGTACTTGCGTTCGCTGGACGAGATATTTATGAGTCCCTAATATAAGTATAATCACACAGCGACTACGGATGTATTATGTTGTTCAGGTGTTGTTTGATCATCTCCGTACGAAATATATTAATCTCTCTAATACTCTAGGCGAACGCTCTTCTGAATTTCGTTATAGGTCAGTGGCAAATGATGCATGCAGATGCAGGTTGGGCCAAGCTCAGGCTCGCCAAGGTGGAATAGCCGTCAAGAAGTTTAGACTCGTGACCAGTCTGTCTAATTGACGCTTGCCCCATTAGACAGACTAGTCACGAGTCTAGATAGTATCTGCCTCGCTCTGGGTTTAGGCCGGCCCTGCTCCAATGTTTGAGCGCGTTGTAGTATCATTGATTTCAACTGCACGTGAGATTCAATTAGAGTTAAGTTTATTTTGGAGTATTTGGTTCACCCTTGGACGTCTTGGGTTTGCTTTTCGCCGTGACTCGCCCGGGCCCTGCTGCTCTTCGAATTTGTGAATGGTGGCAACTCATCAAGCCCTCAGTATTCATTGATCATTCGGCCATTAGTAAGAGAGGCAACTCTAAACACTGTAAAATTGATCGAGAGGTCCATGCTAAAGGGATCTATGGCATCCCAAAGCCCCGCAGTGGTACACGTGCTTTCAGGTATTCAACAAAAAATATGATTCTTTCGGTGTTCTAACAGTACAGCGATAACTACAGGGGAGACCATAACAGTATCAATACAGGACAACTTTGTGTCGAATGCAAGCCCTTGCTAACGTCAAATGATAGCAGTTCAAGCGAGTTCCCACTCTTCCCCATCCTCCGTATAGAAGAGCTCCTTTTTGCCCAAGCTCATACCATCCTTGTACAAGGTAGGCGCCGCAGAGAACTTGTTCAAAAAGTCGCTAAACTTCAACCCCGACTTGGGAGCATTTGAAACTATCACTTGACCGTTTTCGGGGAGGACGTTAACGGACTTATTGACGGCGGTCAACGTGATAGCGATCTCGTCAGAGCCAATTATAATGGTCCCTGCAGTACCGCTGTCGGTGCGGCTAACACGGAAACGAGTGCGGTCGGTGCTCGAAGCATAGACCGAATTTGTCCCTTGAAGGGGACAGTACCAGTACTCGTGAGGAACGGCTTTGGAGCGAATGAGAAACTTTGGTAGGGCCGCTATCAACCAAATGTGGACCACGCTGCAAGGAATTAACTCACGAGTTTTCCGCTAACATGGTCCACGAAATTATCAAGCGGCGGGATGATGCTTAACAGACGACCACCCAGGTCGTACTGCAATGTGAAAAACACCTTGCCGAGGATTGGGTCGCAACCCCAGTCGTCGTAAGGGTATCGGCGGCGTTGGCCTGCCCCACGTCGTGGGTGTAGAACTGGCATTGACACGCCGAATACTCTCCGAGAACTTGACGACACTGGTAGTGGACACGCGCGCCACCACTCATCGGCAACTGCGCGGCTAGCGAAGACGATCACGTATCGATAGGTCGAGTTTGAGGTGATCTGAATGGCGGTTTAGGGCAACATTACAGACATTGAAGAATGAATTTTGAACGTACGTTTTTGACATATGCGTAGAAAACCATGGTTGTACGTTGAATAGGAGGGATGATTTGTTGATTGTGTTTGGATTGAAATGAGTTGCTTGAACACTGTACATTATATAGGGAGAGCAGGTTGTTTGGTTGGGTTGATCATAATATCAAGAAGTTGCATGAAGCGAGCTGCGGGCTCATGGATTCAGACTTCACGCGGTTCCTTCGAACACCCTCACGGCATTCAAGTATGGAAGCCAGGACCACCACACACCGTGACAAACTCCATGACAGACAGACTGTCGCACGTTCGGGACACCGCAGACCTTGTTTTTCTATCCAAGGGACGGTTATCATTACTCCTTCAGATCTACGTCCCCATTAGTACTCGGAGGAACGTGTCTGTGCCATGGCAAACAAACACATTGACTCCATCACCAGTAAGGGATTATTCGATAATTGTCTCGTCTACTGAGTACGAAACGTGTCATACATTTTTCACCCTTGGTAGCACTTTTTCTCCATTCTCAGAGTTTGGACCTCGCCATAAAGCCTTCATTCCGGTTAGAGGGTTGCTTCTGTCAGTCTTACACTATGCTCGAGGTGCATGTGTCCTTTGTGAGGCCTCAAACTCACTAGTATCGTGCTCCGATCATTATGCCGCCCCATGCATCTGGATATGAGCATCGAGGTGGGGGATGGTTCTGACCTTTAAGAAAAATAATCCAACAGTGGTGCAGAATCTCACGGACGTGTTGGGCAGACGCACCTCCAAAGTTATTGACATGCTGTTAAGACAAAATAACACAGGGGTGCACGAAGTCTCGCTGCCTACTGTGGATGTGTGGCGCCGGCTAACGAACGCGGTAGTGCTGGCTTCCATAGTATGGAAGCCGCCCAGACACATTCGCTTAATGCCTACAGCCTTCCCCGCACTCGCATACTTCCCTGTCCCTCACTCGGTTCCGGTTTCTGGTACCCTATTATTATTCAGACCTTTCTCGGTTCCTTCTAATTAGCAATTATGTGCATTGTGCAAGGCTTGGCTTAAGGTCGTGGGCCAAGCTAAGCTGAGCCCTTGAGGATGGCGATCCAGGCTTGGGGCCCAGCTCGAGGCCCTCAAGCCGCGGCTTCCAGGGGTGGTTGTGGTAAGTACTTGATGCAGGTACTTCTCTAGTGTGAAGTTTGTGTTTGGTATACGGTATCTTCAGTTTGCCGCTTACTTGACCATCAAAATTCATTCATGTGGTCAATCTATTAATAATACACTGTGAGTACCAATCCACACTCATACATACCTTAAGCGGTTCCTCACCTCAAACTTTCAAGCTTCAAGTTGAGCCAGGTATAATCTCCCCCTACCCTCTTGTGACCATAGATGGCCTCTCAAAGGCAACCCCGACCAGTTCTTCACTCGATGCAGCCGTTTCGCCACATTATTTGCCCCCTGCAACGTCCAGCAACCTCACTGTCTTTCGTGATCAGCCCCCAGCAACGACTCCCCGCAGCAAAGCGGAAATCATGCGGCCAGAGTAGATTTCGAATTCGGCGTCTGCCCGTCAGGACCCGCTTTCATTCGATTTCCCGGTGGTCGAACCTGAAGTCTCATGACCTAGCATCGCTGGGAAGTAGGTTGCTGTGAAGCGAACCGAAAACCGGAGCGAATTGAAGTGGAAATTGTATGCACTTTGTTAGACTTTACACTGTAATTGCAACTCACCACTCGTGATCACTTTCAACTTCATCGCAAAAAAGCTATCCATCATTCCTCGGTTCCGCCTACCAAGAATGTTTGTTAATAAATTGACCTCACCAGATGCCGTTGCTGACCTTGTTGGGGGTGTGAATACGTCAGACCAGTATTTCGGACCTGGATTATAGATGTTTGGCTGCGCTTAGTCTTACAAGCTATGACGCGGTCTATTTGTAGTCGTTTGTTTATTTTGCCTAACCACGGCGAGATCCGAGTGTGCTGTTTGTGTCGTAGGGGGGCGCCGCTCCCTAGCAGGTTATTGTTGATCTAGGCAAAACCTTGTATTTTTCATTGGATCCGTTTCACGCCTACATTTCGCTTTCTCGCAGCCGAGGTAAAGAAACTATCAGATTACTCAGAGATTTTGATCATGAGCTACTACCCATCATCCCTCTAAAGGCCCTCGGAAAGAGGATGAAAGACCCTCTGATTTGGCCACAGCGATGTGAAATAGTAATAGTATCAGAGATACAGGGAACTGTGGGTACAGAGTCAGGCATAGGAATCATGATGGATATCAGACCAGACGACCTACCTTGCATCTAGATCATTCTCGACACCATTTCTGACTCGGTAAACTTTGGCATGACGCTTGTACTACTCCATTTACCGGACTGACACAAAAACAGTTTGAGCATGCTGCCTTGAGTGCTCAGTGACTGAGAAGCGCAAGCTGATAGCGGACGGTCGTGGATTTCGATTAGGGCCTAAGTGTCCACCGAGGGGAGCCACGCGTAGGCTAATGCATGTGGGACTGGTGTGAACAAGCGCCCACGTGCACATGAACTTGGTAAAACCTAGCAGGTTTAGTATGACGTCAACACAGTACTAGTGCAATCACAATACGCAACAAGACACGGTGAAAGTGCAACGAAATGGCGATGCTAGTGCAAACAGTT